TTGTTCCACCGAACAGCACGCGCTAATTAAACCACCACGGATGAATTTACTCTATTATTGGATTCTCTGTGCCGCTGAATATCCCAAACCTTCCTGAGTCCCCTTGCTCTTCATTGCATGGCTCAGTGTGGTGTGCTGGGACCGTGTGGGAGAGAACAATACCTGTGTAATCCTTAACAAAAGACGAGAGAAGAAAATTAGACCTCCATATGTTACCCTCTTCCCCTCAGGACCCTTCTGCAGGGACGGGCAGAAGATGGATTTACTTATTATCGTGCCTGTGCATGCCAATGAACGAGACACGGGGAATCAATAACTATCTGGGAGGAGTGTGAGGAGCATACAAATGTGCGGCCGGGCCAGGTTATACAATCGAGGCGGTACAACACAATAGCACAGAGAGAGACCTACATAACCGCATCCTCGCTGCTGTATAAATTATTAGACATTACTAAGAAAATTACTACATTAATTAACTGCAAATAGCCTCCCTTTGTCTTCTGAGTTTTGCATAATAACCTCATTTCAACCTCCCACATTCTCATACTATGGGTTTCTGAAGACAATTAGGTTTTAATTGTGAGTCTCAATACAAAGATCCGAGGCTTTTTATCCGTGGCTCTGTAACATTAAAGATTTTATAGTCGCACAAGGTCACATGCTTCTCTAAAGAAAAGGCTCTCAGGTTTCCTATTGAGCAAGAAATTAAAACATGTCCATCTTCCACCAGTACTGCAGCTGCTTTGTGATTGCTTAGATTATCATGATCTGTATGAAATTATATACAAGCATAATAATTACAAATATCAACACTGAAGTATGATAAATAGAAACAGCTATAGCATATATATACTAAAATAAACATATATCGAAAGACGAAATTAAAATAACCTTACCTTATGTCATTGACATTGACAGATCTTCTTCACCCCATCTTTGAGGGTGGCTCTTTGGAACAGGAGTTGTTTTTTTTTAAGCTTTCAAAATCACAGCCTCAAAAGGACTCACACATCTCAAAGTTTATCATTGTCATTCTGAAAGCACGTCCACAAAGCCTAAGAAAAACCTGACACCTGGAGTCAGACTTACATGTGCAGCGCTGGAACAAGCAGAGAAAGACCAGCTGGTGAAAAAGCGAGAGCTTACCCCACTTGAAACCATTGAGTCGTGTCAGCACTTTGTGGGTGTTTTTCTTCAGCCCCGGGAGCTTTTCAATGAGAAGCGGCAGCAGCATTCACCCGGGAAGTGAGAGCTTCTATTTGCATTGTTACAGGTGGAAACAGGGTGTGTATCTCTCCTATCCAGACTGCTTCGAGACAAACCCATATCAGTTCACGTGGGTGCTGCCTGGTTCGCCGCCTTACAGGCACAATCCCATTTCCAGCTCAGTGCTTTGTCACCTTGATGACCCGTAATTCATGGAGCTCCAATGCAAGCTGCTGCAGCGCGATAGAGCACGATTCTGTGGCTTTGTATGGGTTCGTGCACCTGCTCTCCAGCAAACTGAATACCATTCTTTGGCTACAGCGTTGGTCCTTATTCCCGTTTCTGTGTGAAGGAGGTTGAGGACATCGATAAGGGTTTCTCAATGAGTCCCTTCTGGTTTTATAATGTGTGCATTTGGAATAATGGACATGCCAATTTGACTGACGCTCAGATCCGAGCGGCAAACAGCCTACAGAAGCAAATCCATCAAGATTTAATGCCTTACTACCAACCAGAAGCAGCAGCCCTATCCCCAACATCTCTCACCGACACAGTCATGAGAGCGCACACACATTCCACCCACTGCCACTCGTTACTCGAGGGCTGACTGACTGACGGAGAAATCAGCCATTAGCAAGGAGCCGTGAGTAGCTCCTTAAATTAATGGACCCTTGTTCATTGTGTTCAGCCGCCAGTTACACTCAAGGGCAAAGCTCTTAAAGAGACATAAATAAAAACCAAACAAAGCAATGAGGCTCTGATGTTTAATTTTCTGTTTTTATTCACAGAGTCATGTTTTCTGCATCAGCTGGTGACTGGTAATCTTTGTAAACAGATTCTTCATGTGGATACACAGGATCTGGAGGCAAAGGACACGATTTTGGGGGATGGAAGGTTTCTGCTCTTGGTCTGGATATCTGCTAAAGCACCAAATATTGGCCATTGACCACAGAGGCTGATTCGTCATCAGAGGATAGCTGGGTATAGATTGGGTTACTGGAAATCTTGGAAATGAGCCGTAATATATGAAACTACATTGAACCTTAACCTATAATGCATTTTGCAAGTTCACATAATGATGATGGATGGTGGAGTGTTTTACAACATTCAGTTTGCTGCTCATGCTACGACTATATTGAAGTGTAGCCTCCTCCAGCAGCTTCCTGTTTTAAATCTCTGAGACTGTCTCCACCAGAAAAACATAGTAGCAAAGGAGGAGGTAGCTTTGACGTTTTAAACCATCACAACAAGTCTCAGGGAGGGAGGAAGGAGTCATCGATTGGCCACACAAAGTGTCAGACTTTCACACCCGGGGCTGTGGTCTCTGGTGAAACAGGCTGCAGATTGGAAGCCCATACGGCTCAGCTCACACTGCATGAGAAAGTGTCCAAGTTCAGGGTATTTTTCACACTTCCATGTGACGTTCAGTAGATCTGACACTGTCTCACATCAATTATCAGTTTCCTGTTCTGATCTGGATCATGAATCTGAGGTGCAGCGTCTCAACCGGAATCAGGTTCTGACAGGTTCAATATGCAGAGTGTAGCATGCACACAAATCATCTTTGCTATTCAAATCTCAGAAAAGCCCGTGCATCTTCCTCTAACAGCACACCTGTAATCCTTTAGCTGACAAGACATCACACAGATTTACTATTATGTGTATTCTGTGATTTATCCTTATTAAAAAGTAACGGCACTGAAGCTCAGCAATGACTTAAAGCAGGTGTTCATCACATCACACATGATTTGATTCAGTATTTGGAACATTTGACAGTTCCTGTGCTTCTCATTACACGTAACAGAGCAGAACACAGACATGAGAATCATTAGAGCACATACCTGGAGAAAGCTCACACACAGAAAGACCAGAAGTTGTAATCTGGTCTGTCTGAGCAGATCTGGCTTGAAAGGTGCTCTTCCTCCTCTTCCTCCTCTTCCTCCCCTTTCACTTCTTCCTCACCCCTCTTGTCATGTATTGGCTCGTTCGTCTGTAAATCTCCACTTTGATTTATTATTATTGTAAGCAAGTGTTCAGTGTGGCCAAGAGGTCATATTTTGAGTTAAGCATTTTAAATGGTTTCCATGAGAACACAAGAGATTTGTGTTGTGAAGATTGTGCCAGGGAGGCAGAATTACCTGCTTTGCAAAAAAATGTTGGGATTTTGAGGCAGTGAATAGCAGATGAATATTTTGTCAGAATAATTAGTTCATGAATATCAGGACTTTCTCTTTCACTTATTTATATATTTATTTTTTGCTTTAACATTAAATAAATAAATGAGAAGTGAATGAACACAGTTGATGTGTGTGTGTTATCTCTAAATCCTTCCAGAGGAGACGCTGACATTCTTAGTGGTGGTAATGTGTTCTAATTATAATGGGAGGGCTAGGTTTATCTGGCGCCTTACATAAATATAGAACTTTCTTTGTTTTTCTCAGAAAGGATAAAGTGATTACATTACAGCCTTTTGTGTTGCTGTCATTCTTCCAGCATGGTGGCGGTGTCTCCCTCTGTGTAAAACATTTTCCCAACAGCGACTGCTTTGTCCTGCCAGAAGACGGCGGAACCATATTGACTTTCTTTTCCTCTTGTGTTAAAATATTCATATATGACTGTAGCGTTATGGTATTGTATGAAGACACCTCCCATCCTCGGCCTCTCTGCCTCCCCCCATCACAACCCAGTGTTTTTCTCCATCTGCAAAGGCAAATGGATCCAAGCGTTGTGTGCTGTGTTCTTGGTGCCAAATTCATTTCCAATGTGGATGGGGCTCAGAGTAGGATTATGTCGCGATTTGCCGAAAAACAATCAAGCCCAGGCCATGGGACTGCAGACTGAAGTGGTGCTGCACTGAGCCTCATCATCATAACCTTGAAAGACCTTCACTGGCAGCGAGGACGGAGTCAAGAGGGCCTCTGAGCAATAGCTGTGCTGATAGCACCACCCGTTGATCATCTCTGGGAAAAAGAGGAACAAGAAATACTAAAAATTACAAATTTCAGGGGCCAAAAACCTGAAGTATCTGTACTTTGACTTCTTATAAGGAGGAAAGAAATACAGAATACAGTGCAACATATGTTAACAGTGTTGACTAAGAGCTTTAGAGGTCTCACCTTGAACCGATAGTAATTATAATAATAAATCAGCCTATAGAATATAATGATAATGTTTCTTATAATAAGCATTAAAACAAAGATTATATGTCAGACACTCATGTGGTTTTCTCCTCCCTGCCCAAGCACAGACACTAACTTACACACACCCACTATATACTTCCTCATCAGCGTTAGATTTCTTTATCATCTATCTACAATTATTGCACATCTGCTGTGTATATATATATATATATATATATATATATATATATATACACAGCAGATATATATATATTTATATATATATATGCTACAATAGCTATTCATCTGCTGCTACCTGGTCCTATGTACATATATTCTTCATGATCAGTTTTCATCTTAACTGTACATAATCTGTATATGTATTTATCTATTGTATACATGTTTATTTATACACTACAATATTTATTCGTTAGCTACCTGGTCCAGTAGATATATTACTATTAATACTACTCTTACTTTATAATTTTAACCTATTGCACTGATATACTGTTATTGTTGTGTTTGTTGTTTTCTTTCTTGTTTGTACTTGTTGTTGTTGTTGTTGTTTACTTTGTGTCTGATAATCAACCTCTGGGGAAAAACACATTTTTTTAAATTTGGATGGAATTTCAATTCACACGCTCATCGTCCACTGAGACTTTTATTGTGAAACCCCCCTCTCTCTCCACCCCGCACTTCCGTGTTAGCGCCTGTGCTCGTGTGTGTGTGTGTGTTTAGCTCCGGGTTAGCTTCGGTCCTCTGATAAAGAATCATGTCTCTGGAGGTGGAATCAGCAGAGTGAGTCCTGCAGTTTGTTCATCTCATATCTGTGTCTTCTCCCCAACAAACCAACTCGTTCTGATTCTACATTTAACCACATTTTCTCTCGACGAGGCCCGATTCAGCCCGTGTTAGCATTAGCGCTACAAGCTAACCAGAGCTAAGCTAGCGTTGCGGTTGTTTGCTCCTTTAAGGTGTTTGAGAAATGGAAATAACTTCAGTTTAGAGTGTCGCTGGTTTATTCGATAGAGGAAATGATCCTGTTTAATGTTTCGCCACTTCACCGTGGATTAAATAGACTTTGAAGGTGGAGCTGAAGTGAGTTAGCATTAGCTCATGCCGCAGACATTTCAAAAGACCCAGTGTATCCTAAATAAAACTGATAATTAAGGTCACAACAGGAGCAGGAGAGTAGTTCATAGATTTCTCAATTCAAATCCTTAAGTTAAACGTGTTTCTAATGCCAGATGTTTGAGGCTGGTGTTAATGTTTGATTTCTTTACTTCATTTTATATTCTTTTTATGTGTAATCTTGCACTTTGAGTTTCACTCTTGCACTGTTTTCTGCTGCACCATCATTTTTACAGGCGATATTAGACTAATGCACAACTTTTTAATAGTTTCACCTGATACTTAAAATATTTGCATTGTCAATATCTCCATTAGCACTAACTTCTTTACAGTGACAGTTTAATAAAAATAATCTGTTATAAGATAATATCTGCTGATAAAACTGAGTTGTTTGGCAGATACTACTTCTCAATGCCAGGCATGTCCCTTCAAAAGGAATCTAAACCAATAGTTTGTTTACATGGAACTATTGTTAATAATTTTCTTACTCATATGGCCGTGTATTAAATATTTTGTAAGATCAGTTTTATTGCTGTCGTGGAATATTAATTTATTCATCGTTTGTGTTTTCCACAGCGTGATCCGTCTGATTATGCAGTATTTAAAAGAAAACAATCTGCAGCGGACTCTGGTCACCCTGCAGGAGGAGACCACAGTGTCTCTGAACACGGTGGACAGTATTGACAGTTTTGTCGCAGACATCAACAGTGGCCACTGGGACACTGTCCTTCAAGCCATCCAGTCCCTCAAGCTCCCAGACAAGACTCTGATAGACCTTTATGAACAGGTGAGGTTTGGATAAAAACATCTACTGTTGTTTTTTGGGGCATTGTTATAATATTACTGTGAGTTTGTTTCATCTATTGTTTTACTTTATAATGAACTAATTTATTGTCTTAAAAGAAAAGCCGGTATTTGGTCTGCTGCTCTTATGACTCGTGTTACTAGATTTTCCAGTTAAAACCCTAGATCAAACCTGAAATCGTCTTTATTCTGAATTGGACTTTGTGTTGTTTCCTGACCAGGTTGTGTTGGAGCTGATTGAGCTGAGAGAGCTGGGTGCGGCTCGTTCACTTCTCAGGCAGACTGACCCCATGATCATGCTCAAACAAACCCAACCAGAGAGATACATCCACCTGGAGAACCTGCTGGCTCGCTCCTACTTCGATCCCCGAGAGGTGAGTCCAAACCAACTGCACCAGAAAGAGTCAAACTTCATAACGACCCTGCAGCTGGTTTTTTATCATGGATCCACGATTCAATTAAAAATGTTTAATAAAAGAACAGCTGACAAATCTGTGTTTGTCTCGAGTGGTATTTTTATTATTTGTGTTTCTGTCATTCAGGCGTACCCAGATGGCAGCAGTAAGGAGAAGCGCCGAGCTGCCATCGCCCATGCCCTGGCCGGGGAGGTCAGTGTGGTGCCCCCCTCTCGTCTCATGGCTCTGCTGGGACAGGTACGTGTTGCCATGAAATTACATATTTCTACCACATGTGCATATTTGTGCTTTTTAATTAGTACTTCTAATACGTACAAGTTATGCTACCATCCATACAAAGTCGTAATGATTTTCTTTTTCTCTCAGTCACTGAAGTGGCAGCAGCATCAGGGTCTCCTTCCTCCTGGTATGACCATCGATCTGTTCAGGGGTAAAGCTGCAGTCAAAGATGTGGAGGAGGAGCGTTTCCCCACTCAGCTCTGCAGACACATCAAGGTACCATCACCGTCCTTTAGTAAAGATGGTAGAAGGCAACATTAAAGGGCCGCTTCACTGTTTTAGACTGCACTCAAGCATGCTCTTGTTTTAATGAAATGTTTTGTAGTAAACATGTTGTCAAATGCGATTATTTTTCTCCCCTCCTCAGTTTGGACAGAAATCTCATGTGGAATGTTCCCGATTCTCCCCTGATGGTCAGTACCTGGTCACAGGCTCTGTGGACGGCTTCATCGAGGTCTGGAATTTCACAACCGGCAAAATCAGAAAGGTAGCTGACGCACACAAACAGGATTTGCCGGATAATTTAACATTACATTCATGCTTGTTTTAAAATTACACCTGCTTTGTTGAAATAACTGTTTTCACTGTGGCGTAAAGGATCTGAAGTACCAGGCTCAGGATAACTTCATGATGATGGATGATGCAGTGTTGTGTATGGGCTTCAGCCGGGACACAGAGATGTTGGCCACCGGAGCGCAAGATGGAAAAATCAAGGTAGAGGACAATCTTTACTACATCGTCTCTCATTGCTCTTTGTTATGTTCGTGCTTTATTTATTTACAACCCGAAATGATCCATTAATTCAGATTAAAGCCACAAAAGAGTGTTCTGCTCATTTAAGTTGCATTATTTTCTCTGTATAATTCGTGTTTTATTTAAAATTACTGCATGTTGTTATAAACGCTCTGTCTGTGTGATTGTGTAGGTGTGGAAGATCCAGAGCGGTCAGTGTCTGAGGAGATTTGAACGTGCCCACAGCAAAGGAGTAACGTGTGTCAGCTTCTGTAAAGATAGCAGCCAGCTCCTCAGCGCCTCCTTTGACCAGACGATCAGGTAAACGCTGATCTGAAACACTAAACACATTTAACCTTTTTTTTTCTTCTAAAAGTTATGAAAGGCAGCTTTAGTAAAAGCAGTGAAGTCCATGTGTAATGTTTGTGAACGTTATTTCTGTGTTTTGCATCAGAATCCATGGACTGAAGTCAGGTAAAACTCTGAAGGAGTTCCGCGGTCACTCCTCATTTGTCAACGAGGCCACGTTTACACCAGATGGCCACCACATCCTCAGCGCTTCCTCCGACGGAACAGTGAAGGTACGAGAAGCAGCTGCTGAAATACTTTGTTTTACTTTAACAATGTGCGTAATCATGGTCCGTGTCTTCTCTGCTCCAGGTTTGGAACATGAAGACCACCGAGTGCTCAAACACCTACAAACCTCTGGGCACGTCAGCTGGCACCGACATCACTGTCAACAACGTCATCCTGCTGCCCAAGAACCCGGAGCACTTTGTCGTGTGCAACCGTTCCAACACGGTGGTCATCATGAACATGCAGGGACAGGTCAGTTGAAATCACCACTGCATTAAACATCACAGCTCTTCATTCAAACACGACCTGCTGCTGAAACAGCTCTTGAGTCGCTGTGTATATTATTTAAACTCGGACTAAAATGTGGAGAGCAAGTTCTTTTCTCTACAACTTGAAATGTAGGTTATTTTTGTTGAAAACAGCAAGAGGTTGTAATTGCCAAACCGAATGTTTTCCTCACTTGAATACGAAGAGTTTTTGAAATGTTTCATTATGATGGGTAATAAAACTGCCCTCTCACATTCATGCTGTGTGTGTGTGTGTGTGTGTGTGTGTGTGTGTGTGTGTGTGTGTGTGTTTGAATTCATCGTGCAGATTGTGAGGAGCTTCAGCTCCGGTAAGAGGGAAGGTGGTGACTTTGTGTGCTGCACTCTGTCGCCCCGCGGTGAGTGGATCTATTGCGTGGGAGAAGACTTTGTGCTCTACTGCTTCAGCACAGTGACGGGCAAACTGGAGAGAACACTGACGGTACGTTACTGCATCAAAGAGTCCAAAGATATCACAGAAGTTTTTGTAGGAGCAGATAATGAGCGAACACGCTCATTGTGAAGTTTTGATCCAAGTGTTGAAAGCAGGATACGAATATGTGATAGAATAACTAAAAAATCATCAGAGAGAAAAAGGATCAACTTCAAATAATAATATTAATAAATAGACCAGAAAAGACAAAGCTGCAAACAAACCATGTTTGGATTTATTTGTATTTTCAATCATCTCTCATTCTGGAATGTGCAGTTTAAAGTTCTAGAAAATTCAATACATAAGACTGAATTTCAACATGTGCTTGTTGTAACTTCTTCTTACAAATGTGTTGTTCTGTCCATCACTTCAGAGATCATCATTTTACTAACTTAACGAAGCTCTATCTACAATCAGCATTGTTTGATCGCTCACATCTCTCTCCCCTCCTCCTCCAGATCCACGAGAAGGATGTGATCGGCATCTCCCACCACCCCCACCAGAACCTCATCGGCACCTACAGTGAGGACGGCCTTCTGAAGCTCTGGAAGCCTTGACGTGTTGAAACCAAGTTTAAACTGGACGTTCTCACTGGGCAGCTGCTCCCTCCTCTCTGGACTCTGCTCCACCGTTTGTCGTGTTGGTTTTCAGCCACAGTGAATCATTCCCAGGTTCATGTGGACCTAAAAGTTTTGGATGCACGCGTTGATGATCTCTGTCACATTCAGCTGCATGTTTTCATGTGGAAGTGGTCGTTGTGTGTGATGAATAAAAATGCAGGTTGTGCAGGTTCTGTTGTGTTATTGAAAACATGCAGCTGGATGTTCGTGCAGCTGAGCTTTATTTACCTCAGCCATCTGAGAGTGAAGGTTCATCTTTACAGTAGTTTTACTGGAAATGTTTCATTCAATTTCTAAAACCTGACATTTTTATATCTTTAAATTACTTTTTCAGTTTGTTCAAAGTTCATAGAAATAATTTCCGTGCATCTAACGAAGCGACTTGTGCTTCACTGTGACTCTTGTTTATGAATTTGTTCAGGTGAGGAGTCAGATGTTCGGATTGAGATAGAAACAAGGTTTTAATTCTTGTTTTGAAAATTCAATTTTCTGTAAATATATATTTTTCACATCTTTTTTTTTCCCAAGAAGACCTGGTTGAATAGTTGTTTGTCTGTGTCTTTCCTCAAGTCATGGCAAGAAGTGAAAGTCATGGCAGAAGTTGCACTGTCACCTTCTGCAATACAGAACAATACATTTCAGTTTTATAAGTCATCCTACTTTTCTCCTCGTTTTCGTTTTTTAATCAGGCCTCTTTTTAATTTTTATTCCTGGAGTTAGGCCCCGAGTGATGTTGGAAACTTCCCTCAGTGCATACATGACCAATAATTTACACAAATCACAGGTTCTGTAACTTGGATGTCCAAATGTCCCATTTGTGTTTCTTGTCTTTGCCAGTAAAGCTATTTAACCAGAACTGAAACGAGCATCTCAAAGTTCTGTTGGTGGAGAATCAGTATATAAATCTGAATATCTGAGTAATTCTGTACTGTACAGAAGCTTTAAAGAATCAAGGACACCAGAGGTCACTGTACGACTGTCACTAAATATCTTTGCAGGAGATTTAAGCAGCCGTGTGTTAACAGTACAAATTTTCCAGCCATGCACGGAGCCTTTGTGCAACAGGAAGAGGTTTATAAAGTTGGCTCCTCGATGAAGAGGAGGGTTGACTGACTTTAATCCATAGATAAACTTTGGTGGAGGGACTGTTGGTTCATCGCTGCAGAGACGAGAGTCAAGTTAGACAGGAAGAGAAATTACAGGACTTTAGTTGCACCTTCAAAATAAAAGCAAGCATTTGTTATTGATTACCAGTATGTTAAGGATAAAGATCATGGAACCAAAAGAAAGACTTGCCAGTAATTGTATATTATATTGTATATGTTAAAAAAACTAAAAATTTTCCTGCCAAGCTAACATAACACGCTCTCATGTCTGATTATTCTCTTGAGCTATTGTGTTCCAAAGTTGTGAATTAATTTATCCAACAACCTGCCTAAAACCATTTTTGTCATGAACTTTAGTTTTTTAAGTCCTCTAAGTCATTATTATGAGGAACCTTCTTAAATTATGATTTAGAATCTCAGAAATTATGACTAACTGTCTATTGATCTCATAATTTTGATTCAGCATTTATTGTATCTCTGGCAGAAATGGGCTTCACATAGTTTCATATCATGAACACATGTCCTCCTGGGTTTTATTTTCTAAATCTGTGACCGGATGTAGTTTTTGTGTTGTGGGCGTGTTGACAGTGCAGGTCAGGGACGATGAATGAGTGTCTGTCAGTGGAGTTTCTGCAGAGTTCACAGATACTATGGCTGGAGTCCTGCTCTTTATTCTGCTGTCGTTTCTGCATCATGGATCATTCGGCCTCGTTTCATCCGGACCTGCTGACGCCTCAGTGAGACCCACTGTTGCTTCTGCTTCAGCTGTGAGCCCCTTCTCTGCAGGAAACACTGTGACTGCTGCAAACAACACTGAACAGCCCTCCACTGGATCCACAACAGAAAAACCTCTGACCACCAGCAAACATGTGACTGAGAAAACAGCAGAGAGAAAAGCTCCCGGAAAAGAAGCTGAGGAAGAAGATGAAGGGCCTCTGGAATTCGGTGAGTGGCCACTGAAATATTATTGAATTCATATTTGTCTTATTGTATTTTTTATTGTTTGTGGATTTTTATTCTCATTTCATTTCATCGAAATGCACTTTTTTACAACTTAGTGACTCTTTGGTTTCATGTGTCTCCTTTTCCTGTAAAGAAAAACATCTGTGAAGTTGTAAAAACTACAAATGTGGTGTTATGTGTCACTCTGACAGTTAACAAACCTCTCATGAGAACACAGACCCCAAAACTAGAACTTGAGGAGAAAAAAGATGTTGTTGAACTTGTAAATCAGATGCAACAAACTATCTAGAAACTCAGAGTTGTTTGAGTTGTGGGAGTGAATAAGCTTCATGAAAAGCTCCGTCCTGAGGATGTCAGAGGTTCCTGAAAGCTTTGGAGATTTCCAGTGTGAAAAAGAACTTTGTCGGTCTTCGCATATCTGCGGTCAGAGAGTCAGTGTCCGAGGGTTGGGGGAGGATGTTCCACATTCTACCCTGTGAGCAGAGAGAGTGAGTGTTCAGTCGTGTGTTTTCTACTGATGAAAACCAGATGCTCTGTGTGATGCATGAAAAAAGAAGAAGCAGAGAACAAGACCCCTCACTCTCTTTAACTCCTTGCACCCAGTCATGTTCATGAAAGTGTTAATTTAACTGCACGCTCACTGTGGCTGCAGCCAAACGACTCTAATGTAAACAGACGCAAACATACGCAGCCAAAAACCCAGCACACGTGAAAACAGTGTCAGATGTTAAAGTTGGTTTGTGCTGTAGCTCTGCACTGAATCCTAAAATGTAAAGCATGAGAGCACCATACTCTCTAAAAGCTCATTCATGGGATGAGGATTCGTTTTTTGTGTCATTTGACGCTTTCAATTGTCTCTCTGGTGACGTAAATTGAAGAGATATATTTCCAAATGTGTTTTTTAGACAATTTTATAGTTTCTCTTGACCTTAGATCATCTGGAGATATGCTTCCAAGTCACACACCCACAAAGTTTGATGAAAATCCGCCCATGCATTGTTGAGTAACTTTGTTCATACACACACACAGAGTGCAGAGTAACAACACTGACCTGAAGTCAGACTCCACATGCTTGTGTTTCCTCGTGCATAAAAAAACGTTTGCCTTTTCGTAGCGAGGAGATCAACCAGGAGCGTTGCAAAGAAACCCAAAGTGGCGCCGAAGAAACCCAGAGTCCTCAGCAGGAAGCCAAAGGTTGTTAAGAAAACCAAACCGCAGGTCAAAAAAAGTTCGGACACGGTCTCACGTATGTATCGGGATTAGCCCTGAAGGATACAGCATGTGACTCAGACACGGGTCAGATATTAGCAGATAGTTTTCAGTGCTTTCATCATCAAAGTGTTGTTTGCTGCAACGGGAGAATTCAAGTGATTCCACATTTGGAGCAAACACATGAAAGCTTCAGAAACAATTCTAAACTATTTGCTGTTGAAGTTCCCACATCTGACTCCAGGCTGAGGCCGCACATACTGTACATCCAGACCTGCACATTCAATCTGAGCTGCTTCGCTCCATTCATTCTAACCTGAACCCCTTTCACTCCCGACCTTAGAATAAACGACTCACTGAAACACACATGACGGTGGTGATGTGTGGTGCACTGCTGAAGCTTTACAGTCACTTTGGTTTGCAAGTCTCAGTTTCAGCCTTCAGGGATCAGCAATCTGAGACCACGTGGAGAAACTCAGGAAGATGAGATGCATCATGTGTTTGATGAAACATCTCATGTTTCCATCTCCCCCCCGGGGTCCCCTGTGAGGAGGAGGAAGGAAATGAAGCCGATGAGATTTAGATAAACACAGGGAGCAGACAGTACGTTGGAGTTAGACGTGTTTGTTGTCCCTTTTAACTCGAGATGAAAAGTTTACATCCTCAGATGAATTCAAAGAACAAAAGTGAGATCAGATAAACGCACAAAAACAAAAAAGTGCGACCAGATCCTCAGTTTGGTTGCAGGTACATTGACTGTTTTTGTCTTCTGGGCATCGGTGTCAGAGTAAAGAAATGGTTTGGCAGAAGGAGAGTTTACTTTTTAAAAGCTGGGACACATTTTGAGTCACAATCAGCTCAACAGAGATCCAGCTGGACTACAAGGGAAAATGGGGAAACGGTCTTTAAAGGAAATGTCACATACATTTAGAGTTTATTCATGTTGCCTCTAAACCTCGGCTGAACCCTCCAGACAACGAGAGTCTGTGAGTTTGCCAGAGTTCTGTGGCAAATCCAATTTCTGTTGCACTTTAACACAGAAGTTTAAGTTAAACCTCTGCAGACCTCGTTCAACTAAACATCTACCGCTGTCAATGCAAAATTAACCAACTTCCCTCCACTTGCACTGCTTCTCATCACATGATCATTTTGAAACTGGGGTTAAATCTGTGTCGATGGTGTCAGAGTGTCCTCCGCTGGGTCTGGAGTCCCTGAAGGTCAAAGACACTCAGCTGAGGGCGTCGTCCTACAAACGCAGAGGCCTGGGACCTCACCGCGGCCGCCTCAACATCCAGGTAACCACGCAGACTCCCCGTAAACCAAACGCTCGCTCTCGTGCAGCGCTGTCGCTTTGTACATGTGCGCTCATCTTGTGTCTCAGTCGGGGATAGAGGATGGAGACATCTACGACGGAGGCTGGTGCGCTCAGTACAGAGACAAGAACCAGTGGCTCGAGGTCGACGCTCGGAGGCCGACCCGCTTCACCGGCGTCATCCTGCAGGGGCGCAGTTCCATCTGGAGGTCAGCACTGACGCTCAGAGGTTTTTAAGCATCAGGCAGAGTGATGGGAAATGTAGTTTTGTAAAGCAACGTGAAAATATGTTTATTTCACAACATATATGCAGCCCTGTATGTTTTAATTGTCGCATCATTTGAAGACTCATAAATTCCTAGCTTTCCTTTTGTTTCACATATCACACGTACAATAACATGTTACCACATGTGTCTTGCTCATAAACAGCTGGAACGTGGTGCACACCTACAAGGTGCAGTTCAGCAACGACTCTCTGGTCTGGAAACCTTGTATGAACGGGACCGAAGAGGCTGTGAGTGAACAGTTTTACTTCTTTAAGACCGTGGTACATTTTCCTTCTTTCACATTTCACAGCTGCTCTGGTATTTAAACCGGTGACGTCGCTCATCGTCTGATTCTCAAGGACTTTGTTATAATTGTGGAAAAAGCCAGTGGCTGAATTACACTGTAATGATTTTCCATTTTCACATTTTCTTACTAAAAAGAATGAGTTGCAACATGATCATGAATGCAACTCAGAAAGGGATGAAATATATGTATTTTACAATTCAGGGGCTGAAATTAAATGTGTTGTATGCCTATGTTTTATATCAACAGAGATAATAGATAGATAGAGAGATAGATAGATAGATAGAGAGATAGATAGAGAGAGAGATAGTTTCTTAATTTGTCCACAAGTCTTATTATAGATGTCTCCTCGTCTCCCTGTGTTTAAGGTGTTTGAGGGGAACCAGGACTTGGAGACACCCGTCCTCGCCCTGTTCAACACTTCCACTGTGGCTCGGTACATCCGGATCAACCCGCAGACCTGGTACCAGAACGGGACGCAGGGAGACGTCTGCCTGAGAGCCGAGGTGCTGGGCTGCACACTCCCAGGTACAGGCTGACAACAGTTCTCATGTCACACGTTATTATGTTTAACGGCTGTAACACACACACACACACACACACACACACCTCTCGTATTTCATATAGATCCGAATAATATCTACGCCTGGCAGACAGAGCCGACTGAGTCCAGAGACAAACTGGACTTCAGACACCACAACTACAAAGAGATGAGGAAGGTAGGACAGCGTTTGTTGTTCTGTATATATGTGATGATATTTTTATAAGATGAGAAAATATATATGTAAAATTCCCATGTTGAGAAATGTAACAGTTTGTTTTTATAGTAACTCTTGGAAAGTCCCACAGTGTGTGTGTGTGTGTGTGTGTGTGTGTGTGTGTGTGTGTGTGTGTGTGTGTGTGTGTGTGTGTGGTCCAGTCTGACCAAAGCAAATATTATGTGAGGTTTCACTTCACCATGACGGTGTCCTCACTGAGCTGCTACTATCCGTGGTCAGTTTAAAGATACCGTCCTGGATACACACACACACACACACACAGACACACACACACACACACACACACACACACACCGTGGGAGCTCGTTGGAATGTTGGAATACATTCAGCATTTTAATTTATTTGGTCTCACCCAATAAACCTATAAATAAATTAACTCAACTCAAATGTTTGTGTGTATTTCAACCTCTCCTCAGATTCTTTAGACAAACAGACAATCAGCAGATAATTTACGATTAACTCAAAATATCGAAATTTGATTTACAAATATTATTTTAGGTTGAAATATTTTGTGGTTTGTTTGTTTGTTTGTTTCCTGACTGCGACTTGATCCCACATATTTTCACGTGTTTTGTTCCCAGCTGATGAAGTCCGTGCACGAGGCGTGTCCTGACATCACTCGAATCTACAGCATCGGAAAGAGCTACATGGGTCTGAAGCTCTACGTCATGGAGATCTCTGACAATCCTGGAAAACACGAACTGGGTGAGACGCTCTGAGAAATCTGATGTGACGGTTCACATCACTCTAGAGTCTGCTGCTGATTCAGGATCAATATCAGAAAAACTTTGCTCAGAAATGAGCAGTGACCCTCAAACCAAACTCAGGAGCTTTTTCTGTCTCCAAAAACATTTTCAACCTCAAAACCTCCTAAACTTCTCATCTGAGTGTTCACAGAGGTGAAAACAGTTTTGTGGGGGATGTGTGAGATTTCAGAGCAGCTTGTTAGAGAAATGTATGTGAACAAAACAGGAAGGAGATCCAGGTCTTTCTCAGTGAAAGAGGTTGATCGAGGTAGATTCATCCAGTCTTTCTAACTATGTCTTAATTTATTAAAACATATTATGATATTATTTTGTCTGTATTAACTCATCTGGACGTTTCTGGACTCTGAACATAAGAAACACCAAAAATAAAAGTGTAGATTTGAACCTGTTTCTTTGTGTTGCCGCCCCCTGCAGGTGAACCAGAGTTCCGATACGTTGCAGGGATGCATGGGAACGAGGTGCTCGGCCGAGAGCTTCTTCTCAATCTGATGCAGTTCATGTGCGAAGAATACAAACGTGGCGACCAGCGCATCGTCCGCCTCGTCAAAGAGACTCGCATCCACCTCCTGCCCTCCATGAACCCTGATGGCTACGAGGTGGCCTTTAAAAAGGTGCCCGAGACTCTGGGTGAATAAAATGATCAGACGCCTGATGTATGAACTCAGATATTCTGAACCTCTCCACCCTTCTTCATCCTCGTCATCCTCAGGGCTCGGAGATGGCAGGTTGGTCCGAGGGACGTTACAGCTACGAAGGTATAGACATGAACCATAACTTTGCAGACCTGAACTCACAGATGTGGAACGCCATCGAGCTGGAGACGGACCGCTCCAAACTCATCAACCACTACTTCCCCATCCCTGAGATGTACACCTCCGAGGAGGCTTTCGTACGTGCACACACGTGACATTTAGAAATTAAGTAAAATGATCATGTAAAGTAAGAAACATTCTTCTATTTGAAGAAGTGCATTCTGGGTCACAGGCATATTTATGTGAGGCAATTCATCTATTTGACTTGTTACTCTTGGTTTGTCATAGTGGAGAAAACATGGTTGGTCAAGAAATTACTCCTTAATTGTTAATGTTATCATTACTGCTGAGAAATGAGTTCTTAATTACTGCAGTTGAGCATTTGATAATTACACCAGAGCCTCACAGTTAAACTGATAAATGTTTTAATTCTGCTTCATGTCACATTTAAGCCAGTGTACTGTATAACATTCAAATAATTATGATTTTAATATTTCTACAGAGAAAATCTTAAACTTTAAGGATCATTTTGAACTTTTTATTATCACATTAACATCTACAAATATTGGTTCCACCTGAGGTTTTTAATTGAATTAAATTACTATAAAACAACATTAACTCCAGAAAAACAAAATAATATAATAAGATAATGAATAAAAATACAGATTAGTATCATTTTAGAGGATAAATACATCCCACAGCAGCCATTTGACAGGAGACCCAGTTGTTTTGATATAAAACCTCAGTAAAATAAAGTTATTTTTCCATCAATGAAATCAGGTGGCGTCCGAAACCCGAGCCGTGATCGACTGGATGCAGAACATCCCGTTTGTTCTCAGTGCCAACCTCCACGGGGGAGAGCTGGTGGTCACCTACCCATACGACATGACCCGGGACTGGGCCCCTCGTGAGCACACGCCGACCCCTGATGAGAGCTTCTTCCGCTGGTTGGCCACGGTGTACGCCAGCACCAATCAGGTTCAACAGTCCTCCTCCAGCTGCCGCCATGAATGACGGGTTGGGGTGTCGTCATTGTGTAGTTAACACGTTGTTTTGTGCGTCTTGTGTTACTGCAGGTGATGTCCAACCCGGACCGGAGGCACTGCCACAACAAGGACTTCCTCAGATACAACAACATCATCAATGGAGCCGACTGGCACAACGTACCAGGAAGTAAGAAAGTGTGTGTTTCCTTAAATTAGTTTAATCTAGAGTTATTTTTCTGAAATTCATAAACGTATTATATAATTTACTTTATTATTTTATCATCCTCGTCCAGACTGTTCCGCAAAAATCCTGTTCTTTCTATGAGCAAAGGAGCAAACTGACACTGTTGATCCTAACTTAATCCTAAATTACTATTTTGTTAATTCAAGGGATTCATGCTCTTCATAGTTTATGTGTCAGAATATTTGATTGGGAAAAGAGGCTCAAGGGAGTTCACTCAATAGTTTCCCATATTGTTTGTTGACTCTGATGCTCTCTTTTCTCTCTGTGAGGTCAGAGAGGTCAGTTACAGTTACTGTGGGTTTGATGTTTGAGTTTTTTGAGGCTGTTTCGAATCTGTGTTCATGTTGTGTCAAGCTGCGGAGCAGAGTTCATCACAAACCAATAAACATCATTTTACAATCAGCTCTTAATGGTAGCTGTTGATTAAAAACCCTCTCGTCACGTTTTGATGATGAACCTGCTTGTTTCAACTTATTTATCTGCAAACACATGAATCCATCAGACTAATTATGGTCGTTCCCTCTAATTTGAGTCACCTGCTCTGTCTTCACTTCCTGAGTTCTCCCAGGCCTTTATAAGAGTGGTTCGTTCTTCTCTTCTGGTTAGTTGCCCTGATGAAGGTCTGTGTGTCACAATGTGCGGGTGGCTTTTTGTTTTAATCTCTCTTTGTCTTTGAAATGCATCGAGCTCACCAGGAACACCATGGTTTCTTTCTTTATATGCATAGAAATGTAACCCCCCTCTGCACCGAGTCTTCAGAATTAGTTTGAATCAAGAGGGGGGGTAAACATATGACCTCAGGGAAACAGGAAAGTTTAAGAAAACCAGAGAAAGGAAACATGAAAAATAGATGAGGGTAAATTCTTGATGATTAAATCTGATGAGCTAAGAACAGAATGAGATGATAAACAAATGCAAAATGAGAATAGTCCTTTTTGTTTTGTCTTTGTTTTCATCTGCAGCCAATTAAGTTATTTTTGTGTGAATGACTCAATAAGATTCACATTTTTGAACCAATTGCTTTATTGTTTTGTACTGAATTGAACACGTCGACAACAAAGCTGCTTGTGTGTTCTCCGGTCCTGCAGGTATGAATGATTTCAGTTACCTTCACACCAACTGCTTCGAGGTGACGGTGGAGTTGTCCTGTGATAAGTTTCCTCACGCCAGCGAGCTTCCCATCGAGTGGGAGAACAACAGAGAGTCTCTGCTGGCTTACATGGAGCAGGTCAGCATCCTCCTTTCTCTTAGTTGTTGTTTGATATCATATTTATTTATGATTTATCTATTTTTCCAGGTTCACCGTGGAATTAAAGGTGTGATCCGGGACAAAGACACAGAGGCTGGAATAGCAGATGCTGTAATAAAAGTTGATGACATCAATCATCATATAAGATCAGGTACAGTTTTAAATCTCACCGCAGATTTTTAATCAAGGAGGATAATTTAATATTCTCATCATCTTTCTTAAACTTTATTAAAAACTAGTAACATAGTATTTTGATTTAATGCATTTACCCACATCACACTTTGGTTTACAGTTACTGATGGTGACTACTGGCGGCTGCTGAATCCCGGCGAGTACAAAGTGACTGTGAGCGCAGAGGGATACCTCCCCTCCTCCAGGACCTGCCAGGTCATGTACGACCACTACCCCACCATCTGCGACTTCCGCCTCACCAAGATCCCCGAGCAGAGGCTGAAGCAGATCATAGGGAAGGGGGGGAAACTCTCCAAGGACCTGCAGCTCAAGCTACGTCAGCTGCGTCTGCGTAAACTCCGGGTCACCACCAAGGCGATCAACCAGAGGCGTGCTGCTGCAGCCAAACGGGCGAAGAAGGTGTGATGATGATGATGAGGATAACATGAGAACAAAGCAGGACTTGTTCAGTTCACTTTGAGCTCAGAGACAATCAAGACTTCACTGGAGTCATGTTACCATTTTGCTTTTTTAGATTTTGTTATTTAAACTTAACACCTGTAGAAGAAAACACCAGATGTATGGAAAACTACATTTTCTGCTGTGGAGCAGCAGCACAACTGTGGGAACAGTTCATCGTGAAGGACAAGGGGTGAAACGTTTCTCCAGATTCATGCTCATCGAGGTTCAGTTTAGTTTTTACCAAATGGTTCGGACACTGCTTGAAGGTTTCTGTGTGGAGGTGGCGTCTGTGATCTTGAGTCGTTATCAATGAGCTAATTAGATAGCTCAACTTTTAAATTGCTGTCAAATTGTTGGAATTACAGGATGTCATTGCAGAATTCTTGCAAAATAAAAGCATCATGTCCACAAATCTAGTAAGACTGTCATTGACATTTTAAATGAATGTATGTTATTGTGATTTTCAGGTGAAAGGGTTACACTTAGTTTAAAATCATGTTGATAAAAATGGTAAGAGATATAATTTGAATGAACAAGTCAGTGTCACGAGGGAAAGTTTTATTGGGTGTAATAAGCTGCTGGAGTGGGACTTCAAATAAACAGATCTGTTTGTTTCTTAATTCCAGAGAAAGAACACACTTGATGAGAGGAGACATGAACTGAATCTTTATTACATAATTAACATTTTACTTTTCACTTAAAAACATCAGAAATAAAAGTTAAGTTAATTAAGAATAGTGAGCTTCCACTTGACACCGTTTCTCATCCTCGGTGGAGGCAGCATCTCAGCTTCTGTAAAGACATTTTGAGAAGCAGCGTTTTATAATACTGGAAAAATCACATGATACCGATACAGATATTTGAAAAGAAAAGAAATGGCAAACTGCACTGAGAACGTTTATGTGACAAAAAGAGTAAAACTAAGAAGACACTCAACAGAAGAAACAACAGAAGCTGCCGACCTTGTTGTGAAGCTGCAGGTCTCTGCTGCTGCTGCTGGAAAGAGGCCATGATGCTGTTTGCGGTCGAGTTTGGTCCAGTGAGCTGAAGAAATGAGTTAAATGAAAAAAGAACAATGTGAAATCTAAACTCTTTAGGAATTAACTTTCTGGGATATCAATATTTCATAGAGCAAAAGAGTTCATAGAGCTGAATTCCTCATGAAAAACAATTTATTTAATCCTTATCTTTAATCTTAACATTTATCCTTCAAGTCTCTTCACAAATGTATTTGCTTGTCAAAATATACCTACACATCTTAAGCTAACTACAAATTGAATATTCCATAAATCAAGTGTGAAAAAGGTCTTTTACTGATACAGTAATGGTAAATTCTGGTGTTGTACCGGAGTGTGGTTGTTTTGGAGGCCTTCAGGCCACACCTCCGGTATCGCTGCCTCCATCGTGTGCAGAGCCTCCTCGTAGCTCAGCTGCAGCTTCTCTGCCTGTCTGTCATACTGGAACAGCACCAGGGCTTTCAGCAGGCTGTGCACTTCCTCTGCAAATCAACATTATTCATTAAAAAAATATAAAGAAAATACAGATACAGAGTGTTTTTCCCTCTCTCTCATCTTCTTACCTCTCATCTTGTCCACGGTGGTGATGATCTCACCCAGGGCGTACATCAGCGCTCTGTCCTCCAGGGGGCTTCCTTCCTTTAGACTGAGTTTCTTGCGCTCGGCTTTCCGTCGGTTCTTTGACGACCTCCTGCAGACGGAGCATTGACATAAAACCAGAAATAAAACCTATCATTCATCACAAGGACGAGGTGTTTAACATGTAAGAATCAAATGAGGTTTTGTCTCACGAGGAAATGCGGGAGTTGCTCTGGGAGTATTTGGAGCCGGTCATTACACTGCTGGCTTCAGAGTAAAGCTCAGCATCAGGACAGTCTGGACCTTCCTCATCTGATGGAGAAGACAGAGGGTTACTGGAAGTGTGGCTTTAAATACTCGCTATGGTTAAATGTATAAGTGTATTCAGCCATATTGTGGATAAAATACGACGTATTGAGATTGGTTGAGTTTGACTTTAAGAGACCGATGTTCAAATCAGACATGTTCACCACACTCTATATTTTATGACCTCTGTCTTATTCTCACCCAGCATGTCCAGTCTGGCCTTTTCTTTCTGTTCTCGTACCACAGCCAGTCGGGTCCTGTGTCGCATGAACGTCACCAGCTGAGTCTCCAGGAAGACGGTCTGAGTGCCGACAGCTGATGGAGGACGAACATCAAACCAAACAACAAAACATCACAAGACAATATTTCTCTGTGTGGCCTTTTATCTTAACTCAATAAAACCATTTCTTTTAGTTTGAAGTGGTCTTACCCTCCAGTAGAGCCGGTTTCAGGTTGGTTTCTGTGATGTCCTGCCGGCTGTGCATGTAAATCTGAACCAGACAAAGAAATAAACCTTCATACATGCAAAGAACACACACAGACTTCAGGATAAGAATCTACACATTTAACTTTTTTATATGAAGACGATGACAAATTGCAAATTAAAAAAAAGTGAAAAGGTAATTTTGCTCACTGACCAATCGATGCGCCTCTTCCCAGACTGCACCTGTGATCAGAGCCAGGATGGCTTCCTCACAGTCCTGAAACAAATTTTTTATATTTATGCATTTGATTTTGCTTCAGCATGAAGTGGTTTTATTAGCAGCCATTTTGTCAGCAGAGGTTCTTACTTTGGCGTACTGGTCCAACAGCAGAGCAGCTTCTGAGAACCGCCGTTGTTCAGTCAGCTTCTCTACAACACAAAGAAGCAGAAGCAGTTAGGACGAGGACGCCCAGATGGAACCACACCATGTCTCACCAGCGGCCCGTCTGTTGCCATGGTTACCTGCCAGGTCCCTGGCCAGCAGAGCGAGCTGGTCAGGCGGTAGCGGGATCTGCTGCGCCACACAGATCGCGTTTCTCCAACTGGTGCTGCTGGCGAACGCCTGCAAGGCGCTGACTGACTCTCCGCATCGCCATAGCAACAGGCCGGCCTGCTCCGCCTGCTGCTGCTCCGCAAGGTGCTCGGCATAGGCACAGCTCAGAGCCTGGAGGTCAAGGGTCAAAACATAAGGAGGTGGAAATCCTGCAGATGATGTTTTTAACACAGTAGCAGCTCTCTGTGGTGAGTTGGTTATAAACTCATCACCTTGTACTGAGCACTGTTTGCTGTGAACAGTCTCAGAGCTTCACTGTAGAGTTTTTGCTCTTTAACCAGCTGCAGAGCTTCAGGGAAATGTTCCTGTCCTGAACACAAAACACAGAAAGGTTAAGCTCTGCTTGGATCTTTGAAAAATACAATCGCAAAACACTGGCACAGCTTTAATACTGGAGACTTTTCAGACACGTAGAAGAATAAATTACTCTACTAAACAGGCGGGTTTCAGAGAGAACAGAGACAGCAGCAAGAGGAGCTGACAGATACAAGAAGACTGACCACACTTGCTGAGGTGAAGCAGGGCCTTGCTGTAGCGTTTCAGGTGTTTGTCAATGGTGAAGCGTTGGTAGTTCGGCTCCAGGCTCTTCAGCATGTTTAAGAAGGGAAGGTACTCTTTGGGGTCCTGCAGGTTTTGCAGACAGACATCAATGAACATTGATATTAGAGTGTAAAAACAATGTTAATTTATGTGTTTGGCTACCTGCAAAAAGAAAAGTATATGATTTTTAGCCTCTGTACTAATATGTAACATAACTTTTACTATCTCACATTAATTCCATAAATGTCTGATATCTTGGAACATAGGATTTCTGTTTTTATATGTGCTGCAGAGAACCTATAGAAAATGTCTCCTCCTCCTGTCCTGTGTCGTACCTTTTGGGATTTCTCCGCCACCATGAGCACAAGGTCGAAGTCATACGTTCCCAGAGAGTGTTCATAAAGGTCGTTGACATTGACGAGGAAGAGGAGGTACTTCAACGCTTCTTCAGCACTAACGGCGCTCGGAGCTGCAGGAGGATTTTCTGGGCAAATCCACACAGAGCACATAAAGATGTAATAACTGAGAATAAAATGAAACATCCTTCAGGTCCTCAGTGTGTCTGTGTGTGTGCTCACCTCGAAGCTCGTGGACTTTCTGCAGCGCTATTTCCAGCTCTGGAACCGTCTTCTTCACATGAGCCGTCAGTATTGACAGACAGAACCTGGACAGAGAAAACGCAATCATTCAATGTCCCACTAGTTTTGGCAGAACTACACAAAAACAAGAGATGTTCATCATGAAATCTGGACAAAATGATCTGGATGCATCTAGTCAGTGAATTTAAGTGAATGAATCCTAAAACTATATTCAGTTCTTATGTCAAAAGATGTAATTGAAAAACCACTGACTTGTTTGGATCCATTGATTCCATGGTGCTCCGTAAAGCATCACAAACCACATCCACCTTCTTCTGCCCAGGGGCATGCTGGGACTGAACTGAGCTGCTCTCAGGACGAGGGTACATGGTGCTGGTCGTGTCCTCCTCTCTGAAAACAAAAGAAAAAAAAATGCATGTAATAGAAGATTTAATTTTTTAATGTGATGTCCAACTTCTTTAGGTGCAACTTACTTGAGCTCAGTGAGGAAGAGGTTGATGTGGTTGATGGAGTTCAGTTGCGTGATGAAGGTTTCCATGTTCTCCAGGAAAACCTGCAGGAGGAAAATAAACATGTTTTATTAATGTGTTCCCTCTATAACGACCATGTGACGTTTTTTTTTATTGCCTGCACTGGAGGAAGTTTAGAAAATCTGTTGTTTGAAAACTAAATGTTAGTACTAAGTACAAACCTTTGGGTTGTGGTCATGAATGAGGTTCAGGTTGATCCTCAGCTTCTTCATACTCTCAAAAGCTTCTCTGAACATCAGACTGAGAAAACAAAACAAAAAAGATCACGTGGGACTCAGATTAACACTCTACATACTGTTTGGTCAAAGTCTCGTTCTGTTAATCTGGATAAGATGCAGAACATTTCCTAAAACATTTCCTAAATTAAAAATAGATTATGTTTTGGATAGAAAGCTGAGTTCAGGTGAAATAAGCTTCATTAAATAGTTTATTCAAAAAAATATTATATGATGGGGGAATATCAAACCCACCTGTCCAACCACTTCCTGAGCTGAGCCAACACCAGCGCTCTATGATGCACGGTCTCCAGGTTTCCACGAGGCATCTGGATACAAACCGAAATGAATCCTCTAAATTTGTAATTTGTGTGAACACTCACCATGTGTTGCCACAGTTGTTACAGTAGAAACAGTGAAGGTAGCAACATGTCAGTATGTGCTGAACTGACCTGTAGAATCACTTTGGTGTCTTGAGGCACCACAGTGACGATCCTGGATCCTCTCTCCACCCGACGCAGCGTCTCGTCATTCTGGCCTCCGTCTGAGGTCAAGGCCGCCTGCAGCCCTGTCGGAGCAAAGGTCATTTG